AAAATTATTTAAAAATATATAAACGTAATTAATTCAATGTTTTTTATTTTTGCTACTTAGTTTGATATCTTAATAATATAAAAATACATATTTCGAACAGTTTTCATCTGTTTATGAGTTTACCTGGTCCGAAATAAAAAAAGTCCAAAAAAATGGTTTTTTTAATTAAATGAAAATTAAAATAAACAGAAATCAAAATTAATATATTTATTATAACATGTGTTCACAAAAGTCCAAATATAATTTTCATAATTTTTGCCGGCGTCTTAGTAACAGTTACTTGCCACCAGACGTCGGCGAAACCACACTCTGGATCCCATAACAATATAATGATGAAACAATGCCATATAAATGTTTGTCGTTAGGTAATGAAATAAAATGAGAATAATCTCTCTAATAAATATCATACTCTTCTAATTAACTTAAACTTGTGTTTTTTACTATGTATAATAGTAATAATAGTAATAGTAGTAATAGTATTTTGAAATTTGGTTGCTGGTTGAGTTAGTCTGAATTTGATTGTTTTATATAGGGCTTACATTTGTTCATGCTAAAAGTTCGGTCGTCAATTTTTTACTGTAAATAAAATTATAATGTCGTGCCTAAGATATCTAAGAAATCAGGAACTATTGCATATTATTGACAATTGGAGCGAAGATGACTCATTAGTGCCAAGTGACACTCCGCTACCTATTGAATAATAATGTTTGCCACCTAATAATGTTGCTGGTGAATCAGACAATGAAATGATTGACGATGATGAAATATCAACAAACATTACATGCGATTTTAAAATTTTGTTCTCCGTTTTTGAATTCCGCGTGTCTAAATTTGAGATGGTATTTATGTAAGTGCTATTGACGGTGTATACGAATCAAATGCACACGATTATGGTGGTCTTGTAGAAATGCCTGAGTCGCAACTATTCACATTGGAACTTGTTAAACCAATACGTTTCAGTTATAAGCTATGAACCCTTTCTTTGGATAGTGGGCATATCTTCCAGTTTCTGCCATACTGTGCAACTAACAAATACAACAAACAATTGGAAATCGGTGCATTAGTTGTAAAGGAATTATTGAGCCATTGTGAGTATCCATTGCAACATACTGTATGATTCCGTTGAACCCATAGTAAATGTGCAACGCTATAGCAGAGAGAAAAAAAAAGGTTGGTGTCCCGCAGCCTCAAGTTATCAACATCTACTACCGATACATGGGTGGCATTGACAATGGAGTTGTTAACTATCGTATCGGGAATAGAAGCAAAAAGGGGTGGTGGCCATTAAAGGTACAGTGTTTAGATAGCGCTATAGTAAACGCTTGGAAACTAAATTGCTTCGTCGCTGCTTCTACCAACACAAAACCGATGCCTCAGTTAGACTTCAAGAATTTCATTGCCAGAAACCTTCGTCTTCCATCAAAGAACTCAATGTTCATTACAAAAGCTACCGCTTGTGATGATTTGAAAAACGAAAGTCACAGTGCTGCAGAAGATGTTTATCTTCCGAGAAATTTACCAAAGCCACAGTTTTTATATGTGAAAAGTGTCATTTAAATGGTGATGAAGAAAATTGCTTTAAAATTTTCTATGAAAATAAATAATATTACATTGATCGTAGAGAATGACGCAAGTAACTTATTTATTTTATATAATATACCTAATTCATATGTAATAATTCAAATATATTTTTTGATTAATAAATATTTGAAAAGCATAAAACATTGAATTTTATACTAACGTGTACTTTATTTAACTTACAATGATACTTACTTCACCATAAAAGTAACTAAATACCATATTTGCGAACAAAACACATATAAAAATGTTTGTACTATCGAAGAGAAAAAAATGCGCTATGGGTCCCAGCGTGTGGTTGACCACACGGCACTTTTCCGGAAAACTACTTTTCAAAAATAGAATTTAATTTTGCATGGAATATTTTTAACGTAAAATAAGACCTTTCTGAAAATTTCACCATAAAATTTCAAGTTTGAACTTGCCTGGTACTTAATGGGTTAAATAACTACATATATATATGTATATATTAGGGTGTCCCTTTTTTTCAAAGTTTTAAATTTCTAACGCATAGGTCTTAGTTTTGTTCATTTGAATCTAAAACACTCGAAAAAAAATTTTTACCTTATTTAGAGTACGATAACCCGTGCCGACTTGCATCGAATCATGTTCATATATGCTACGAGGTAGTAGCGGTGCGTATTCACGAGATTTGTCATTTGTTCTTATTTATTCTCGCGATTAATTGGTATTGTTTTACATTTAAAAGATGGCAGTGGAATTAAGAAGCAATAAAAAATCTGTTTTCTTAGCTGGTGACGTAAATTATCAAATAACAAGCGGAAAGTTACCGCCTAATTGTCAAGTTCTTGCAGTACTTTTTTTTAACATTCGCGAAGTTAAATTGATTATTAGTGAAGCGCTAATCTCGTCATTCGGGAGTGTATTATATTTTGGGAAAAAGTTAGAATCCTTACTAGAGCTTTACCTAACTGTGAAAAAAACTTGTGGATCTTCACCATGCATGGAGGGAGTTGCAAAAAAATTCTAAAAATATACAAGATATTTACAAGCCCCGTGAGGACAACTTTAAGAACAATTTAGATAATTTATTTGATATAGCACACGCTGATATTTTAGAACGGATAAAAATTAAAGAAGATAAGATATTTTGTACAAAAACAAAGAGAACCAGGGCATCCAGGGTGTTTAGCTGGTGTAGACAAAAAGTTAGCCGAAAAAGAAGAAGGATCAAATAAAGGAAATTAAATGAAGAGAAAAAAAGTTGTGAGCAAATGTGTTTCGAAAATTTATCGACATCTGTTACTATGCATGATTCTATTGAAATGCAAGGACATAACGATCAACTTACCATCTCTGATGATGAAAGCCTTGAAGAACCCTCGGCATCCATCTCTCAAATGGTAAGTTCTGAAACTACTACAAAAAGAGAAAGGAAGAACTTTATCACGCCTAAGTTAGTTTCAACTTTATTCTGTCTATGTACTTCAGGTTGTAGTGGAAGCACTAGATTTTTGCTGTAATGATTTTTCGATAAATAAATCCTCTATTCAACGTATTCGCACACAGAGTCGAACAGTTATAGCGGAATCCATAAAATTAAATTTTTAGAATAATGTGCCTTAAATGGTGACCGATCACTGGAATGGAAAATTATTACCTGGACTTGACGTGAGAAGTTCTACAGAATAACGCCTGCCAATTCTAATTTTATTTGGAGAAAAGGAACAACTTCTAGCTGTGCCCAAACTGGAGAGCTCCTCCAGTCGAGATCAAACTGAAGCTGTGTTGAACGCACTTTATGACTGGAACCTTGATAACATAGTATAAATATAGTGCTGTGACACAACTGCGTCTAATACAGTGCGATTGAACGAAGCTTGTGTACTTTTGGAACAAAAACTTTAAATGGAATTACTACTCTTTGCTTGTTTCCATCACTTTTATGAACTGGTTTTTAAATGTGTGTTCGAAACAAAAATTCACCAAGTCACAAGTAGACCCGATATCCCACTGTTTAAAAAGTTAAGAGACAACTGGAAAACTATTGATCCTGCTGCCATTGAAACATATACCGATATCGTCACACGACATTTTTGTAATACAACAATAAAAGATTTGTTCACTGCAAAAAACCATTGGACGTGTTGATTATCGAAAATTAATTGAACTATCTATTATTTTCTTAGGAGGAGACAGTGAAAAAAATTAAATTAGACCACCAGGATAGCTAGAGATATTTACTGTTGTGAGTTAAATATTTATTTTATTTAATTTCACGGGTTTTGGCAGTTTTTCCGTTAGGTAGTGTGTACGATCTTAGGTGATCGTACATTTTCCCTAAAAATAGGCAAGGTTATTTGCATTTGGGCAGTTGTTGACTAGAACCAAAGCATCAGACCGCCAGTTCGACGATAAGAAATGCTGAGTTTTGGTATTTGGTTAATAATTGGTGTCACGATGTGAGTGACTTTGAAAACGTAAATACGGAAGAATTGCAAAAATATGTAGAGCATTCTTATTAATAATAAAAACTTTGCAAATTTAGCAAAGTAAATTATGAAACTATGGAAAAGCCCAATTAGGTAACTAGGGTAATTTGAAGGTCATATATTGGATTTTTGCATCAAGTTTAGGTATATAAGATAGAATTAAAAACACAAAATGAGAGTTGGTGTGTCGTGACAGAGACGCTGGTACGTAGGTTCATTGTGTGACTTCTGTAAGTTCGGTTAGTCAGCCCCAGTACTGTCGATAAAAAAAATTACTAAGTTAATTACTATTAAATAACAACTAAATTTATAAAATTTTGGTCCTGAAGGGACACAACTATGTGGTTATATTAAATTCGTAATAAAGTAAGAGTACAATGACTGTGTGGAGTTTTTGAATTATGAATAAATAAAAACTAAATAAAAGTAATATAATTTTTTTTTAAATAAAACATATTTAAAATTGTATTTAAAAATTAATGTGCATGCAAACATCTGTGAGAGTTATCAATATAAAGTTAAATATATATACAAGGTGAGATGAAAAAACTGCAACCAACTTCAGACTGCTGTCATTTCTAAACCGCTCGTCTCACAGCTGTCAGATTTATTCTAGTGACAGCTCATTATATTGTTTACAAGCGCACAAAAGCATTTTGGTGGGAATTTTTCAGAAAAAAGTTATTTGTGATGGAATTCAAGCGTGATAGTGTGATTGCTTTGCATTTGGCTGGAAAACCA